TTAATCAATTCAATGCACATATTAAATAGTAAATTTAGAAACATCTTAAACTGATAAATTGAAGGTTGATTTTCATTATGGGATTTAATTATGTTGAAAATAATTTTGAAAAATCTTTAGCAATAATTATTTTTATAGAAATGAAGTGTTGATTAATAAAATTGAGCTTAATATCATCATTTAAGTCCAATTTTACAATTTATTTCACCATAATTTTTACTGAATGTTGACTTTTTATTAAGGAAATTTCCTAATGTGAGATAGCTGAGTCTTGTGATTTTTTCTTCAAGTAAGTCTGTCAGAATGGTGTTCATGATTGAACTTCCATTGCAAATCAGATCCACTAATAATTGATATAGTTAAGATCTGATCAATGGTTACATGGCCAAAGTGGTTGTGGTATCATCCTGGAAATCAGGATCAAATCCAGGTATTAAAAAGTATTAAAAATATTAAGAAATTTTTCTTATTTTTTTATTTTATTGATTCTTTTTTTTAAAAAAGGGTGAATATCATATATTAAATAGTAAATTTAGAAACATCTTGAACTGATAAATTGAAGGTTGATTTTCATTATGGGATTTAATTATGTTGAAAATAATTTTGAAAAATCTTTAGCAATAATTATTTTTATAGAAATGAAGTGTTGATTAATAAAATTGAGCTTAATATCATCATTTAAGTCCAATTTTACAATTTATTTCACCATAATTTTTACTGAATGTTGACTTTTTATTAAGGAAATTTCCTAATGTGAGACAGCTGAGTCTTGTGATTTTTTTCTTCAAGTAAGTCTGTTAGAATGGTGTTCATGATTGAACTTCCATTGCAAATCAGATCCACTAATAATTGATATAGTTAAGATCTGATCAATGGTTACATGGCCAAAGTGGTTGTGGTATCATCCTGGAAATCAGGATCAAATCCAGGTATTAAAAAGTATTAAAAATATTAAGAAATTTTTCTTATTTTTTTATTTTATTGATTCTTTTTTTTAAAAAAGGGTGAATATCATATATTAAATAGTAAATTTAGAAACATCTTAAACTGATAAATTGAAGGTTGATTTTCATTATGGGATTTAATTATGTTGAAAATAATTTTGAAAAATTTTTAGCAATAATTATTTTTATAGAAATGAAGTGTTGATTAATAAAATTGAGCTTAATATCATCATTTAAGTCCAATTTTACAATTTATTTCACCATAATTTTTACTGAATGTTGACTTTTTATTAAGGAAATTTCCTAATGTGAGACAGCTGAGTCTTGTGATTTTTTTCTTCAAGTAAGTCTGTTAGAATGGTGTTCATGATTGAACTTCCATTGCAAATCAGATCCACTAATAATTGATATAGTTAAGATCTGATCAATGGTTACATGGCCAAAGTGGTTGTGGTATCATCCTGGAAATCAGGATCAAATCCAGGTATTAAAAAGTATTAAAAATATTAAGAAATTTTTCTTATTTTTTTATTTTATTGATTCTTTTTTTTAAAAAAGGGTGAATATCATATATTAAATAGTAAATTTAGAAACATCTTAAACTGATAAATTGAAGGTTGATTTTCATTATGGGATTTAATTATGTTGAAAATAATTTTGAAAAATCTTTAGCAATAATTATTTTTATAGAAATGAAATGTTGATTAATAAAATTGAGCTTAATATCATCATTTAAGTCCAATTTTACAATTTATTTCACCATAATTTTTACTGAATGTTGACTTTTTATTAAGGAAATTTCCTAATGTGAGATAGCTGAGTCTTGTGATTTTTTCTTCAAGTAAGTCTGTCAGAATGGTGTTCATGATTGAATTTCCATTGCAAATCAGATCCACTAATAATTGATATAGTTAAGATCTGATCAATGGTTACATGGCCAAAGTGGTTGTGGTGTCATCCTGGGAATCAGGATCAAATCCAGGTAGTCCAAAAACCCCAAGAATTTTTCATGGGTGGTCTTTCTTGGATATGTTGGCCCTGTTTCTCACCATCTGGTCAGGTCTGGCTGAACTCACAACGGGTATGGAAAAAAAAGACTTTCTTAGGGTCCATAGGATAGAAAGAGTTTAAAAAAAGAGACTTGACCGTGTGATTTATTGTGAGATGATGCTTAAGCCATAAGAATTGTTCAAACCAGTTGATTAATTTGTAGAATTTTGTCAAAAAATGCTTGTTTTCATACAAACAGAATTTTTAAATAAGTTATTCTACATGATACTCTTACATTATTGTTTCATATCATGCTTCAACATTTGATATGATACAAAAAATGGGCATTTGTTATTTTAATTTATTTTGGCGCCAATTGTTTTAATATATTTTTTAGCTGAACTTATACTGTTTATCGTATCATAGGAAATATAAATAATTATTTAACTTTTTGAGTCAGACATTTTAGTAATGAAATAAGTAAATAATTCATTAAATATTTTCTGTTTTAATTGACTAATTTTTATATAATAAAGTGATATAGCTTGAGNAGACCTACAAACACTTATCTTTTTCTTTTACCCGCGACCCCCCGTGTAAGGCTTCGCGACCCCCAAGGGGGTCGCGACCCACAGGTTGAAAAACACTGGTGTAGATGATATACTAGACACTGGGATAACTTACTGGACTAATTATTGCACCTTTTACCAGTGGGATTTTAGAAGAATACTAATGTTTTTGACCCAGTTAATGAGTCATTCACTGCTGTCGAAAGTCAGAACTCTGGAAATGGTTCAGTAATTAATAATACAGGTGATTATGGTATTGGTACTCCATAAGAAAAAACTTATGCAGCCCACAGGAAGCATATGAAGGCTTCCCTTGTGGCCCTCATCCAGTAAAGTAATTCCCTTGTCGCCCTCATCCAGTAATTTCTCATCGCCAGTTTAATCCAATAACCGAACAACTTGAGCATTTGATCATCATATATGCTTTTTGTCCATTATAGAAATTAATTTTATAAACTCACAGACTCTTCCTAGAGAGGAAAACTTTTAAGTTCACATATTGTAATTATATCATTAACTTTATTTTACTTTTATTATTAAAAAACTGAATAATTTTCCATTGACATCAACTTAATTTTATAAGAGTAATTGTTTGAGGCAGATAGTCAAATATTTGCAAATGTCTAAATATTCTTTATGTAACATTTCTTGACATTTGGTTATTAAATAGTAAATTTATTAATGAGATTACTATTCTAACAAAAAATTACACCACATACTTATTTAAAAATTTAATGCAAAAATTAATTTAGCTTCTTTGCTTATTAATTATACTCTGTAAAAATTTCTTACCTTTGTTATAAATTTATACAAAAGTGTAATTAGAGATTGAAATCTTTTAAAAAGTTAACTACATCTTATTATTTGTGGAGTTTTAAATTTTCACTGTAATATGCAATTATCTGAAAACAGTATATTATTTGTTTAAGTTAATGTGTTACAGTAAATTACTGGCATTATTATTAGGCAAATATTGCTTAAGGACTATGTATATAAAAATGTAATTTTAATGGTTTGTCTAGATTTAAAACATACAGTAATTGTAAAATGAACATGTGACATGACATGTAGACTGTATAAATATTATACATAAAAAAATATAAGGTTAAAATAAGTTTATTATATATGACATCTGTTGCGTATCTAGTGTTAGGAAAAGTATTAAAAATATTAAGAAATTTTTCTTATTTTTTTATTTTATTGATTCTTTTTTTTAAAAAAGGGTGAATATCATATATTAAATAGTAAATTTAGAAACATCTTAAACTGATAAATTGAAGGTTGATTTTCATTATGGGATTTAATTATGTTGAAAATAATTTTGAAAAATTTTTAGCAATAATTATTTTTATAGAAATGAAATGTTGATTAATAAAATTGAGCTTAATATCATCATTTAAGTCCAATTTTACAATTTATTTCACCATAATTTTTACTGAATGTTGACTTTTTATTAAGGAAATTTCCTAATGTGAGATAGCTGAGTCTTGTGATTTTTTCTTCAAGTAAGTCTGTCAGAATGGTGTTCATGATTGAATTTCCATTGCAAATCAGATCCACTAATAATTGATATAGTTAAGATCTGATCAATGGTTACATGGCCAAAGTGGTTGTGGTGTCATCCTGGGAATCAGGATCAAATCCAGGTAGTCCAAAAACCCCAAGAATTTTTCATGGGTGGTCTTTCTTGGATATGTTGGCCCTGTTTCTCACCATCTGGTCAGGTCTGGCTGAACTCACAACGGGTATGGAAAAAAAAGACTTTCTTAGGGTCCATAGGATAGAAAGAGTTTAAAAAAAGAGACTTGACCGTGTGATTTATTGTGAGATGATGCTTAAGCCATAAGAATTGTTCAAACCAGTTGATTAATTTGTAGAATTTTGTCAAAAAATGCTTGTTTTCATACAAACAGAATTTTTAAATAAGTTATTCTACATGATACTCTTACATTATTGTTTCATATCATGCTTCAACATTTGATATGATACAAAAAATGGGCATTTGTTATTTTAATTTATTTTAGCGCCAATTGTTTTAATATATTTTTTAGCTGAACTTATACTGTTTATCGTATCATAGGAAATATAAATAATTATTTAACTTTTTGAGTCAGACATTTTAGTAATGAAATAAGTAAATAATTCATTAAATATTTTCTGTTTTAATTGACTAATTTTTATATAATAAAGTGATATAGCTTGAGTCTCAATATGTATTTATAACTCTCTGTGTGTATATATATATATGGAATTTTATGAATAAATTATTATTCTGTAAAGAATATGATAAATCGATTTAATTAATATACATATATTTTAGAATGAAGATTTTAAAATTCATGTTATTTTACCTGATGAGAGAAACCTCAAGAAGCTAAAGCTGTCGGGAGAATGGAGACTACAACAGCAATTAATTGAAAGTGGATACAATATAGTTGAAGTTAGTTTTCTTTTTCTTCTTTTATAATTTAAATATTAGATAAAAATTTTATGAAAGTACAGTTTAAATTCACCTTAGAAGATCAAAGTAGACAGTAACCATTGTGTTTCATAGAATAAGAGTAAAAACGAAATACCTTTAGAAATGTATTAAATATATGAATGAATTTATTATTTTTAATTATTTTATTAACAGAATGACACAGTAATTGCTTATATATCAAAAATTTTTTGAATTTTATAATTTTCTAAATTCTCTATCTTGATAATGAGATATTCCATGTCATATTATTTTACTAGAACAGTTAAGGGTTAATGCAACTGGTACATTAAAACAGTGGTTCTTAATCTTTACAACTTCTGGCACCCCTTCAGTTTTTAAAATTTGTTCCCACATCTCCTTGCAAAAAATATGGAATTTTTATTTAATGTGGGTGGAAAAAAATAAAATAAAAAACAACTTTTTTTGTAAATTACCTGGTATAAATGCAATTTATTCAAGAAAATTAAATAAACAATACACCATTAGATACACAACAATTTTACTTTAAAGAATTATATATTTACAAATTTTATATTTCAAATTACAATTATTTTAGAAAAAAATAATAAATTACAAAAATCAAAATTACAATTATTTTACTTTATATATTTACAAAATCTTAATGGTGTTTTTGCTATTGTATTCTCTCAATTATTTTTTGAAACACAGCTCTTTGTTTGATATAGTCACATGCATATTGTTGTTTGCATCCAAATGATTTCTGGCCTATGTTTATGTTTTCACGTGAATAATGCTGAAAATCCCATCTCACACAGGTAGTTGATAGCAAATGACAAGAATATGTATGCTTTCTTCAATAATGTAGAAACAGTTCTAGCTGAACACACCAGAAATTGTCTAATTTGATTTCTTGGAACTCCATTTGAACACAGCCATTTGCTCGTAACTCAATAAGATCATCTTTCATTAAATTATCATCATTCATATAATCAAGATTAAAAAGAAATGGATCCAGTACCATCTATCAGCTACTTCAATATCTCCTGTTGCAAAATATCCTTGGAATGAGTCACTCAGCTGTTGCAAATGAAGTGTGATTTCTTCTAAAATTATTGTACATTCCTCATTTTCTGAAATGATTTCATTAAGTAATGGGAAATTTGCAAAATTACCTTTTATCATGTTTTATCCAAACTGAAATTTTGGAAACAAAAGTAGACAATTTGTCTCAGGCTACTATTATGTTCATCCCAAATCTTTGTAAGGATGTGTTTAATTCATTCAAATGAGTGAATATATCTGCTGAATATGATAACTGAAGGATTGATTCTTGCATTTCAAATTCTCAAATATGTTATTTTTTTGGCCTTTAAGAACTTGAATTTTCTCTTGGTGCAATTTGAAAACTCTGTTTAGTATCCATCCCTGAGAAAGCCACCTTATCTCTGTACGGTAGAGAAGTGCTATGTGAGAAGCACCTACTTCTTTGCAAAAAGTCCCAAAAATTTGACTATTCAGTGCACATCCTTTGATAAAATCTATAATTGTCATTACCATAGACAAAGCAGTCTTTGAATTTGCTGGAAATGTTTTTGATGCTAGGGCATATCGGTGAAACATACAATGTGTAATTATTACATCTGGTAGAAGTACCAGATGTAATTTCACATATGCAACAAAACCAGAATATTTGCCTAGCAGGAGCAGCATCAGTACAAGCTGTTCCTATCCACATTAATTGGTATCTCATGTTTCAAATATATTTAATCATGTCAAAAGAAAATATTTTACATGATTAAATATATCAACTTGTTTTATAGTTATGTTCATGGTTCACAAAATAAAAAATCTTCCATCATTTCCTTGTCTTTCACATAATGGCAAATACCATTAGCTGACTATAATCATCAACATTAGTGGATTCATCAAGCTGAATATCCACTTTCATGGGACAGGCTTTGATATTTTATATTGCTTGCAGTAGAATATCTTGACTCGCATCACATCATAGAGGAAGTTTTTGAATTTTCTTCTATGCTTTCAAGCCTAAAACAGCTTTTACAATTTCTAATGCACAAGGTTTTATTAATTCTTCCACTATTGTATGAGGCTTCTATGAGGCAAGAAAAATATATTTTTTAGCACATAGATATGCTACTTGATACAATACTTGTAACAAGGGTTTCTCAAGTGATGTAGATATGAAAGTAGTCATAGTACCACTCGTATTAAATCTTGCTCTCTTGGATTTTAATGTTTCAAGTGTCTGCCCATCATCTTCACCACCATGTTGTTTATTGAAATGTTCTTTCAGCTTGGACGGGTTTAAGATTGGAGTTTGAAAATATCAAGCAGCATAAAATGCATTGTGGTTGTTGAATACCATCTTTCGTAGTTGTATAAGTAAAACTGTATTGAACATAGTCATCGTTCCAGCAGTATTTTTTGGGATAGTAAGGGTAACTGAAATACACTGAAATACAAAATTCAAAAAATAATAAAACATAAATTAAAATTTTAAAAATATCATTAAATGTTAAATTTTGAGCATAGTATGAATTTAAAGAAAAAAGTTTGAAAAAATTGCAAAAAGTCCTTTAAAAATGTAGCTTGATTGTAAAAAACACATATTTTGTTTTCTTGGTTTTGAGAGAAAAAAATGGAAAAAAAACAATGCAAGAGTATTCAACAATGGGATTAATTTGTTTTTATTTAAATACAAGTGGGTAAACTACAAAGAGGTTATTTGGTGTGTTGATTTAGGTTTCGTTTGTTTTTTTCAAAGTTTAAAACTTAGTTTTTCTAGAATTAAACAATATAATATGTAAAATAATCAATCTTACCTGATACAGCTCAGTTGAGAGTTCCAATGACAGAAAATTTTTAGTTATTCCAGAGATGATTAGATATGTTCTTTATTATATACAACTAAAAACTTAAAAGGGTAATTCCAAAGAATGTTATGTTTTAAGTAATGTTATTAAATAATGATAACTGAACTAGAAGACACAAGATTAACATATGAAAATTCAGATGTAGCAACTTATTGTACTACTGAAGCAGAATGAGAAGCAAAATCAGTGTTGCCAAGTCCCTGACTTAAAGAGATGGTACAAGACACAGTTAAAATATGGTATCTCTCATACAAAGATAGTGGTACAGTAGAGCGTCATTTATCCGAATCAATTGGGGACTGGGGTGGTTCGGATAACTTATTTTTCGGATAACGAATCATGTACGAAAAAATATATTAATTTATCCCATGTTGAAATTTCTCTCCGTTGTATGTCGCTTCGCGTTGAATTTTCGTCGATGTTAAGCCTAATGAAGACTATTGTATCGTTAAAAATTATTTTTTTATTTTGTACAAACAAAATAAATATATTGAAAAATATAAAAACAATAAAAAATTATACTTCAGATGTTAATTTAGTATCAAAAACGTAAAATATTTGAGTAGCCCGAGAAATAGCCGAAGATTGCAGCGCCACAGCACTAGCGAAAATTTAAATTTGCCAACTGGAATGCTTTTGGATAACGGACGTTTTGGATAACCAGCTTTCGGATAAACGACGCTCTACTGTATATCTACTTTTTTGTCATTACCATCTTAATTCAAACTTTGAATTTAAGGCCTTTGTTTTGAACCTTAAACCTTTTTAAATCAAATTTAAATTTTACTTATATTATTTTGTAGTTTTAAACAATCGTATACAAGTGTATATATATCATTATTAACAATTGATTAAAAACTTGTGTCTCAATTACTAAAATTACAAAATGTTTCTTGATCTTAACATCTCTCATCTCCTGAAGAATCTTCTTGTACTCCCAGGGGTGTATGCACTCCTGGTTAAGAACTATTGCATTAAAAGAATAGCCTGTTTTTTATTCTCTCCTAATGTAAAGTGTAACCTCTAAAATGTTGAATTTAAATCATTTGTAGGTTTTGAAAATTATATAATTTTTGTGAATAACAAAATATAAGCAAATAAATCATTATATTTTGTTTTAGTATTCTTTCATCTTTTAGTTTCAAAAGCTATCCTTATAATCAATATTTTCAGATAACTACTACATCTGGGAAGCAATTCAAAAACAAGAATTAACTTTCAGAGCAAGTTAATTCTTGTTTTATATCAATCAGATATAGCAACTCACTTTAAATGATTTACAATCTCTTAATTCTAAATTTAAGACAAATGCTTTCAGAAATATCTACATTATTAAATGTTTTAAGAAAATATATGATAACTATGAAATAATTAAGTTTAATTCTCTGTAGTATTTTTATAAGTTTTAGTTCAATAGATATTTTGAGAGTAGATTGTGTTCTGTAATATAAATATTTATACATTAAATTTTTCTGGTTCATTTTTCATCAGAAAGAATCAATTTGAATTCATGTTTGAGACAATTTATAGCATATAATGCAAATAAGTTAAAAAAAAAAAAAAGAAAAGAAAAGAAAATGATGATTCAAAACTGATGACTCCATAGGTATAGATTTTAGAAAGAAACTAAGAAGAGTTAAAGGAGTCAGGCTATTTATTCAGATTAAGTGCTTTTTGGAATTTTGAATATCATCTTCAGATCAACAACATTCAATACTCTGACAGTTTGAATAGAACAACTACTTTTATATAACTTTTTGAATCAAACTAATCAGCATTACGAATTTGAACATTTCTTCAACAAATTAACAGATATTTTTAAATTCTTTTGTGAATTTAAAAATTCTGTTCAAATTGTCAAGTAGATCCCCCTATAAAACAGGTTCATATAATACAGATTCATAACACATGACGAAAAAATTGCGATTGTGTTCGTATAAACACGCTAAAAGAGACTCGTATAATACGGTAAAACGTCATCGCCGACTCGTGTCATGAAAGGATTGGTCGAATCTATAGCAGATATCCCAATAGCGGATATTGCACAAACCATTGAGTTTAAACGAGCAGCAGACCTACTAAAAACCATTTATTATTTAACGGCCATAAAAATTATATTTATATTAATGATGTCTCCAAAGTTCAGGAAATTTTTTGAAAACGTGCACGCCCGCTGCTCGATGCACCACTCCATGATGAAAACAAGCTTAAGCAATGGTGTTGTCGAACAGTGCACACTAAGTAAGTAATCCTACAATTTTTTGTTAATAGCATAGTTTATATGGATTATTCCCAAAATATTATACATGTTTTGGAAATGTTGAGTCAAATTAGTCTAGAATCGATTAATTTTATGGAAGAAAACCTTTCAAACAGCCACAGTCCCTAAACTGCACACGTGCCAGGCTGTGATTGGCTCATGTATTTAAGTGACTCATACAACATGGAATTCATAAAACATGGAATGTATCTACCGTGTTATTGGGGGGTCTACTGTACATTGAACATTGTTGATCTGTAGATAGGATTAAAAATTCCAAAAAGCACTTAATCCAAATAAATATTCCAACTCTTGAATTTTTTCTAATGAAAATGATAATTTCAGACATTTTCTCTAATTGAAACAAACTGGGAAGTAAGCTACATATGAAAATAGTTTACATAAAATCAGTTAAGATGCCATAAAAGTTGCTTGAAGCAAAATAACTTCTTATATCTCTGATTTATAAATTACAATAACAATTTAGTCTACTTTATTTTACATTAATATTAAACGTTTTTAGTTAAGATGATAGCATACTTCTGTTTTAAAGTTTAACATAATCATTTGTGCAGGTACTTGAAAGATGTAATTCTTTGGATGAATTTCTTATTGAATTACAGAATCATCTGGTAAGATCATTTATCATCATAAAATTCTTTTTTAAAACATTAGAGAGGTTGAGGCGCACGTTTTAAACATGTAAACGTGTACGTGTGACGTTCGGCGCGCTTTCCCGTAAGCCTAAAAGTTTGACAATGGTGTTTGGATAGTCGGTGGAATTACGCTCGACATTCCAAACACCATCGTCAAACTTTTAGGCTTACGGGAAAGCGGCGCCGAACGTCACACGTACACGTTTACACGTTTAAAACGTGCGCCTCAACCTCTCTAATAATTTATTGGTTTTTCAAAACTTGAAATATGATGACATTTAATTTACAAAATTAAACATTTCTCCTATACAGGAACAACAAATCAGATTAGAAAACAAAGCAAATGTGATTGAACTTCCTCCTTCATATTATAAGGATATTTTAGTACAATTGGAAAAACTGGAATGGAAAAAGTAAGATAAATTAGAATATTTATTTTAAAATTTTTATTCAAAACGATGAATGAATTTTAAAATTTAATCTAAATTTAGATTAAAATATATCAATGATCAGTGGAACAAAATTCACCTCGAAGCAATTGACAGTTGTGGAAGATCACATATTTTACAATTAATTATTCCAAATGATGTATGTATGTTAATAAAATTTATAATATATAATATTTATAATAATAATATTATTATTATTATCTAGAAATTGTAACTTTCCTAAATAATTTAAATTACTATTTTTGAAAAAGGCTACATCTGATAACAGAAATATTTGATGTCAAAATCTCATCAAAGTAAAAGTTAGAAATTTGTTTATTTATTATTATTGTAAAGGGTTTAAATCTAATTAATTTGCATAATATGAAACCAAGTTAAATTTTTGAATATTACTGCTGTATTACTACATATAATTTTTATTTAAAAAAGTATATGTAGTAATACAGATGAATGGCAGTCATAACTAGTCATTTTGTAAATAACAGTATTCAGGGTATTCCACCAAAAACAAACAAACAAGTAATCATAGGTTACATGGCAACTATTGCAAATTCAAATTTACATTTTATGCCAACTTGAAGGCATATTATTAGTTTTTTCCCATATAAAAGTTTTATGACAATAAGGTTTGTGTTGTCCTTATACTGTTGAAAGTTAATCAAGTTCCAGACATGAAATTTGATATAACATGTTTACACATTTCTGGATTCACAAATTATAGCAGTTCTTTGATCCTGATCCTCAAAGCTTTTTGAATGAAACATTTGGGAAATAATGTGCTATTCATAGTCTCCCACTTCTCCAGACTTAAATCCATGCAATTACTTTCTATGGGGCTTTTTAAAGGATGAACTGTTATATGATAAAATTACAACCCTAGAAGCTTTGGAGATTGGGGTCAGAGAAGTGCCATAGCTCATGAATCCAGACATGTTTAAATGTGTTATATCCAATTTCATATCTAGAATTTGATTAACTGTACAACAGTGATGATGACATATCAAATCTTATTTGTCAAAAAAAACTAATATCTTCATGTTGACATAAAATGTAAATTTGGATTTATAATGGTTGCTGTGTAACTTGTGATTAAAATCATTTCTTTTTGATGGGACATTCTGTGTTATATTATCATAAATACGATATTTGTCATTAATTTTTTTTATTTGATTGTATAAACTGCTGAATTAATCAATTCAATGCACCTTTAACAAAGAGTGAAATTAAAGATGCATTGATTAATTTAACAGATTAACTACAATGGCTATAATCCTTCAGTTATATATATAAATTTAATCTTTATATACTGTATATTATATAAAAATCATATGTAATATATGTAATGGCTCTGTTACATGTAACGGGGAAAGTATTGCAATTGGCCAAAAAACACCCCCCCAAGATTTTTAATTTTTGGACTTGGGACCTTGAAATGTCAAGAAATGTAAAAAAATACATACATATAGATAAAAAAAAACCCTAAATTTTTTTATTTAGGGGTTTTTTTTTCTATATGTATAGATGTGTGTGTGTGTGTGACACGATTTTGTTTACCCTCTTTGAAGCTTAATAACACCTGTGCATTTTGTTGAAAATTTCTGAAATTTTGCAGGGAGATGTAGTGTTAAAGGTCAATGGGGTGGAGAGATATGCCCCCTTTATCTTGAGTAGAGTTGGACTTAATGACAATTTTAACGACTTGTTATTAGCATTTATAATTTTTTATAAAACCCATTCCTCCTCTCAAAATTAAGTATTTTTTGCCATTTTATAATTAAAAATATAAAAAGTTTTTTAATGAAATATCATAACAGATAGTGCCACCAAATGTTGCCAGGAAAGTGAAGCAACTTGTTGTTGGTTTGAATTAGTACCAGATTATTATTAATTAGAAACTTTTTTAGTTTAACAATAGTAATAAATTTCTGACTTATTTAATAATTTTGGAACTTATTAGTTTTAGCTTCGGTTTGTTATTATAAACACAGAATGAGTTTTAAAAATCATTTAAATTATGCTACAGTTGTTCCCAGTCAAATATTTTTTTTCTTTTCAATTAATCAATTATATAATTGTTCATTGAAATAATTAAACTCAAAATAACAAATCAAACATTATTAAACATGTTGAAATTAATTTCAAGTAGACAAAAGCATGGTAAAGCATAAATATAAATAATGTTTTTAATACTCTGGATGATAGGACTATATCTACAAATTTAGTGATGGGCCACCTTTCCTGTTATTTAACAATTTTGGCATTTATCAATTCCATTCTGAATGTTAATCACAACTTTCAAAGATTATTTGGATGTTGTGATAAACCAGTTTTTCTACTATTCTGATATTCAAAAGTGAAATCATCATTAAAAAAGTTTTTCTCTTGACTATTATGTTTTTATCTAAGATCTTCTCTTCTAAGATAGTGTTATCTCCACATTTTGTAAGATCTTTTTTGTGTTCCTTGATCCTGTATTTTAAAGACTTAAAGATGCTACTTATATAATACCACACAGAATTTAGTGAGATCTTTAAATACCCCTTCTTAGATCCTTCTGTATTGGGTCTTTTCATTCTGATTATTATTCAAAAGTTTCACAGACAATGCTTTATTTCCTAGCATATTCTTGTGTGTTTCACTAATTAAATCTAGTTTCTTAGTTAGTTTGAAGTAAAAAAAACAAAAATAAACAACTGTTTTAATATTTTAAAAACATATGTCTTTGTTCCAAGAATCATGTCTTTTATGAAATTTAATTCCTGTGGAAAATTAGTCTGAATATTGTTTTTTTCATTACTATAAACTGAATTTTATATTCTCAACAATCCATATCTTGATGCAGTATGGTCAGTAGTAGTTATACTTTGCTATAAAAACTCCAAGTTGAAACATTAAATGAAATACAAATAAGTTTAAGAACCTGTTAAATATTTATAAATAAAAACAATTACTTTTATTTTTGCTACATTCATTATATTATTTTAGATATATGGAATGTCACATATCAAAGCAGATAACATTTTAGATTTTCCCTAGTTACATAGTAGAATATTGAAATTTGGTGGAGTAGGTAAACTTTCATTCAAATATACATTTGTTACTGCTTCATATCTTTTCAAAGTAATAAAATTAAAAATATATTACATCAGCTTTGTAATACTAAAATCAGTCATGAAATCTTTTATTGAATAATATTTTTTAAGAGTATAAAAAGCTTTTTTCAACTCATATTGAATATCTTTATAATTAATTTTATTTTTTTATATTATTACTAAGATGAAAACTCAATGTAATTATCTGACAAAAACTTTCAAATTACAGTATCCAAACAAAATGCCAGAATGTAAAACTAATCTTCCCCAATTTGATTTAAATACTCTTAAGGCAAGTCTATATTTTAGTTTATTCTTACTATTTGCAGTCTATACTGTATTTATGTAAATAAATAAATCTTTTAGAAAACAAATCTTGATGTAATCTATAAAGAATTTGAATCAAAGTTAAAAGATTATCAGTTATTTTGGAACTGTATGGATGAAATTGATAACAATGTTTGGGTATTGGAACCAAATCATCCTAGTAGAGAAGACTGTAAAAGAAGAATTGCTATAGGTATTTTTAAATCATAATGAATTTTTTTAAGTTTACAAATTAATACATGAAACATTTTCTTTAGGTCCAAATTCTTCACTTCAAATAAATGTAGATCCAAACAATCCCACAGCAATTCCCGAATGTTATTTTTATGGACCAGAACAAAGTATAATTTGATAAATTTTTCATAATTTAGTTTTTAATTCATAATATTACATTATATTAATATGATGATTACAGCTGTTGGTCCATTGAAAGGATTATTTCATTCAAATTTGGAAACATGGTAATTAATTTTTTAAACTTTTATATTTTATAACAGAAGATTTGTTTTGATTTCATGTTTATTTCTAGGAATGAAAATTGTTCACTTTTATACAACCTTCAATCTCTTTTAAATATTAATTTTCCTTTAAAGTCAGAAATAAACAGAGAGGTAAATTTTCATTTGAGTTATAACAATACTAATGTATAGAAATTTAAATACTTTATACAAATAGGAACTTCACTTGGATTGTGGAATTTGTTATTCTTATCAACTAAATAATACATTGCCTGATATATTGTGTGAAAATTCAAAATGTCTACAACCTTATCACCTTAACTGCTTATATGAAGTAAGTAAATTGGTTTAATTGAATCTTAAATCTTTAGGTTATTATTTATTTTCATTCTGCATCATTATATGAGGCAATTCTAAATATATGCAAAAAATTTCAACCATAAAAGTGCATAGGAACATATATTCAAAATGACCATGACCAACTGTATTACAGTTGGTCATGGTCATTTTGTCTATCCTCCACTACATTGATTGGTGCATGCATTCATATTAGTGTAGAATTATTTCACATGATGTAACATTGCGATTTCATTATTCATCAACATATGTTCCTACACAGTTTTATTGTTGAAATTATTCATATATATTTTGAACCACTTGTATACACTAACAGAAATTTTCTTCTTGTTTATCAGTTATAATTTACGAAATTATTGAAAAAATTCAAACTAAATCTGACAGTTTACATCAAAATATTTTATTATAATTAATATTTATTATTTAATTTTATAAATTATATTAGATTTAACTCTGATGCATCATATAAATGAAAACAAAATTCTTGCTTATTATAACTAAATTGCACCAATATATCATAATTAATTAGAAATTCTTTTAAGATTTCAGTGTGAAATTTTAAACCCAAAATTAAAAATTCAATTAGCTATTTATGATCATCAATTTTATAAAAAATTCTTTTATGTGCAGTGGCTAAAATCACTTCCAACTACAAGGCATAGCTTTAACATCATGTTTGGAGAATGTCCATATTGTGAACAGGTATTACTTTGTTTTTATATTTTTCTTAAAAATTTTTCAAATTCAATATGTATATATATTATATTTCAGCCCATAATGTGCAAAAATGTACATCATATGAAGGAAAACAATGAATAATGATTACAAGAAATATAAATTTATATACATAAAAAAGATGTACAGTTAGCTTTGATACTGTATCTTCTGAATACTTTAAGGATGTACTCAATTACATGGATAATAAAAAGCAACTGTGGATTTTTACTATATTGTGCAATTGTTAATCAGAAACAACACAATTAACAAAATTCTCTGCATAGCAGAGAAGTTAAGCAATCATATTTAACTATTTAGGCACCTAAATATCACAAAGTGCTTTGATACGATTTTTATATATCTAATTTTACATTTTGCTTGGCAGGAGGGTGGAAAGGTTCAGTTGGATGATTGGTGATTTCAAAACTTTCATGACATTCTCTGCAAAGACAAAAACAAATTACAATTTAGATAAAAACAATTATGAAAATAACTTGAAGCGCTTCTTACTTGAAACATCTAAGACAAAATAAATCTTTATCACATCCAAAACATCGTAATTGGGCATTAGCCATACAAATTACACACCATGGTAATTCATCATTCTGTAATTAAAGTTTTGTATTTAGAAATATATTGAATAACCATTAATATTAAAATATAAAATTTTGTATACCTCATTTTCACTATCTGAAGATTGATGCAACTTTTTATCATAATTAGTTTCATCTAATTTACTATCTAAAGCTGCTTCTGCAACAAACTGAAATTAACATTTTCTTTTTTTAAATTAAGCATTCCATGAATGTCTCATAATAATAATAATGATAATGACTATTGTTATATAAATATTTATAATGCTATTTAAAATTATAAAACAGAAGACACATGCAATTGTCTGTTCAGTGTTAAATNTTGTCAATGAGTTCTTGATAGTGGATCCAGATGCAATCTACAAATAATTTTTCTTGAAACTAGGCCATTTTTCTCGGAATGCAGTGGTCTGAATTGTATATATATTTAAATTAATTCTTTTTAAAATTAAATTAAGTATAGGCCTAAATATTAATAAATTGGCGCTTGTGTAATTTTTAATTCGATATTTTAAAAAAAGTAATGCTAATTACTTATGTTTTTTGCCTACTTTTACATGTTCCAAGTAGCTAGAACTATTAATTAGACTGAAGAAATTACGTTCTGATAATTCCTCTGGCATATATTATTTAAGGTTAAATTTTATATAATTTGCTACTTTCGTAAGAAAACAAAATTATTTTAATTAAATAACTGATGCTTTTAAAACCTTACATAAGGACCATAAAGTCACATTTTAGAATTTAATAAATCCAGTCATAAATAATTAACACTGAAATAATGTATAATTTAGAAATGATATAACCAAATATTTATAATGCTATTTAAAATTATAAAACAGAAGACACATGCAATTGTCTGTTCAGTGTTAAATTTTTAACCCAAAATTAAAAATTCAATTAGCTATTTACCATCAACAATTTTATATGCAGTGGTTAATTCAGTTTATATTAATTCTCCATGATATATCAATCAATAAAGCGTAATGCTATTTTAAATTTGATATAACTATCTTGTAAATCTCATTAACAAGCAGAGCAACCTTTCAGAACACTGAATCTACAAACCATACTCTTAGGTGAAAATGTGCTCTAACATTTAAATAAATTTTTAAAATGAAAACAAAATTACATTTATTTAAACAATATTTTTATATATAATTAAATATGAAAATCCATTAATGAATTTAATACAATATATCAATCTTGGAAGAAATTGCTATTTGTAATTAATTATAAAGCAAATACACATTTAAACGATGGTTACTAGATTCTACAATTGTTGTAAAAAATTTACATTGCAATATTTTAAGTATTATTTTTTAAAAGTTAAAAATTAAAATTTAATTTTTTAAGTTTGAGTATTTTTCTCATCTACACACAAAACTGTATAGCTACAACCAACAGACTGCCGAAACTCTATCGGGCTAGTTTTATGCTAATTATTAAATAAATTACGTAATCAATTTGGTACTAGAGGTAAGCGTTAGGCGCCATCTCTTATTAATAATTATAAATAATTTTAATTAATTTAAATAATTTGGATAAATTTAAATAAAACTGTATGATGTAGTTAAAAAACATTGGAAACATTTCATCTCAAATGGTCACAATATCGTTCATTTTCAACATATTTCCTAATATTACTATAAACTGTATTATAAAATTTTTTTTTACAACTTTATTTGTATATAACAGGGGTGGACAAGCAAGAGTTCAGTGGGAGCCAAAATGTAAGTTTTGCAAAATGCATGAGAGCCTCAGTTCTGTACTTTTTTATTCTGTACCGCGATTTTATTATATAATATAAATATGTTTATTAAAAAATTCAATATTTGTTTCATATTATATTTTCACAAAATTGTGGAAATAAAATTGTAAAAATAATAATAAAAAACAGAAATTAACACTTTCAGCAAGAGCCGCATGTAACTCAAAAAGAGCCGCATTTGCCCATGTCTGGTATATAACTTACNATAAAGCGTAATGCTATTTTAAATTTGATATAACTATCTTGTAAATCTCATTAACAAGCAGAGCAACCTTTCAGAACACTGAATCTACAAACCATACTCTTAGGTGAAAATGTGCTCTAACATTTAAATAAATTTTTAAAATGAAAACAAAATTACATTTATTTAAACAATATTTTTATATATAATTAAATATGAAAATCCATTAATGAATTTAATACAATATATCAATCTTGGAAGAAATTGCTATTTGTAATTAATTATAAAGCAAATACACATTTAAACGATGGTTACTAGATTCTACAATTGTTGTAAAAAATTTACATTGCAATATTTTAAGTATTATTTTTTAAAAGTTAAAAATTAAAATTTAATTTTTTAAGTTTGAGTATTTTTCTCATCTACACACAAAACTGTATAGCTACAACCAACAGACTGCCGAAACTCTATCGGGCTAGTTTTATGCTAATTATTAAATAAATTACGTAATCAATTTGGTACTAGAGGTAAGCGTTAGGCGCCATCTCTTATTAATAATTATAAATAATTTTAATTAATTTAAATAATTTGGATAAATTTAAATAAAACTGTATGATGTAGTTAAAAAACATTGGAAACATTTCATCTCAAATGGTCACAATATCGTTCATTTTCAACATATTTCCTAATATTACTATAAACTGTATTATAAAATTTTTTTTTACAACTTTATTTGTATATAACAGGGGTGGACAAGCAAGAGTTCAGTGGGAGCCAAAATGTAAGTTTTGCAAAATGCATGAGAGCCTCAGTTCTGTACTTTTTTATTCTGTACCGCGATTTTATTATATAATATAAATATGTTTATTAAAAAATTCAATATTTGTTTCATATTATATTTTCACAAAATTGTGGAAATAAAATTGTAAAAATAATAATAAAAAACAGAAATTAACACTTTCAGCAAGAGCCGCATGTAACTCAAAAAGAGCCGCATTTGCCCATGTCTGGTATATAACTTACTTTTTTCACTAATTCGTCAGCTATTTCATCATCGTTTTCATCATCATTATTTTCATCATCACTAGCGGCAGTTACTTCTTTGCCTGTAAATAACAACAGTTATGAAAAAATTTAAATTGACGTGCAAACTGAATATTTTGATGTACTTATTTATTTAAACCTATTGGTATTATTGTATTTAGATGAATTACTTGTTCAGTTTTAAAAGTTAAATTTTAAATTAATGATGATGACAACTTTCAAAACATTTGAACATATTTATTCAATGGAAAATCAGCCTTCTTGATAAAAAGCACCGAGTTCAGCGTTAATACGATTTTTCTTATATCGCAAGTACTTTCGACGAGTATTATATCGTTGTCTTCAGGCAAAAAAAGAACAAATTTGAAAATTAGAATGTGCAGAATGTTCCAAGTAGAAAACGGAAAAGTTTTCTTGTCAATTTCTAAATTATAGCGTTCGGTAATTCCGTTGGTCACGTGCAACAAGCTTTTGCTGGTGTTTGAAATATCTTAAATCCACACGACTAGCAGCGCATGCGTTGAGGAGCGATCGTACTAATTGTGCGACTCTTGGCGCTTTTTGCTGTTTAAACGCTGGTATAAAGTAACCCATATTTCGGGCAAGTCGAGTGTGGGGACGTTGCATGCGTCTGTGGTCATTGTAAGGAGCGCTTCCCAAATAAATGTAATTCTTCTGTTGTTACAGCTCCTGAGCAACGCTGTTTTTGACCATAACGGGTTATAGCCCTGCTGTAGAACTTTTCTGGCGAGCTCTGTGGTCTGTCTTCCTTTGTTTATATCATCTTGATGTTCTGCGATACGGCAAGTGAGCATTCTTGTCGTTGCCCTTATATACTTCTCAATTGTCCCCGTTATTGGATTTTCCAGTTGCACTGCGTATATTCCCGATTTTTCTAAAACGTTGACTTTATCCTGATCATTGCATAAACTCCTGCGTAGGTTGGGTAGGGGAGTTAAAGGAAGAGTAAAGCTGTATCGCCGGAAAATACGGCTAATAAGTATGGATGGTGCTCCTAGGTACGGCAGCGCTGATTGTACTGTAGACATTTCTTTTTTGCTATGTAGTGTGGTAAACGGGAAAAGGGAATCTTTTACCCTACGTAGTACATGCATAAATTTGGCACTTGTGAATCCAGCGTGATGTACTGCCATTCTTACGATTTCCAGTTCGACTTTTATTAGAGCTTGCAATGAGGGAAGTAGCATCGCTCTTCTGATGACAGCCGCTATGGCGGAATTGACATACCGCGACGGTTGAAATGCATCAGCTGGAATGATATAGGGGACTATGTTGGACTTATGATGCAGTTTATAGTGCATCATAAGTCCACAGACGCATGCAATGTCCCCACACTCGACTTGCCCGAAATATGGGTTACTTTATACCAGCGTTTAAACAGCAAAAAGCGCCAAGAGTCGCACAATTAGTACGATCGCTCCTCAACGCATGCGCTGCTAGTCGTGTGGATTTAAGATATTTCAAACGCCAGCAAAAGCTTGTTGCACGTGACCAACGGAATTACCGAATGCTATAATTTAGAAATTGACAAGAAAATTTTTCTGTTTTCTACTTGGAACATTCTGCACGTTCTAATTTTCAAATTTGTTCTTTTTTCACCTGAAGACGATGATATAATACTCGTCGAAAGTACATGCGATATAAGAAAAATTGTATTAACGCTGAACTCGGTGCTTTTTATCAAGAAGGCTATACAATTTTGGCGTGAGTTTATTTATTTATCTATTTCTATAATGGAAAATCATTACTATTATACACTTATCTGACTGTAAATAGCTTTATCACCACCATATATTCACATTTTTTCATTAATAGAATATGTAAATCCTATATATTTGTGTACAATGTATATCTGTTTCAAAATTTGGTAAAATTGGCAATTGGTAAATGAAGTTGCAATCAGTGATTTTGCTGTGTGCAATAATTTTCTTGGTGTGTGGAAAATTGCAGTAAAGAAGTTCCTTATAGAAGTGCAAAAGTGATACAAGTATGCTGTAACAAAACTCCATCTGGACCAATAGGATAACAAGAGTATGTATTTCTTTGCTGAATCATTGCATTGATGGAACTTAGGCAGAGATGTATGAGCCAGCACTAAATGGCAATCAAATGAATGGCAGCATCAGAGATTCGCATGACTAAAGTAAAGTCAACATAATGCTGATTGTTGTAAAAGATATCCTTCATCATGCTGTTCCTGTGAACTAAACTATGAATGCTAATTACTAGCAATAGCTTATTGGATAGCCATCATCTGCATACAACACTACAAAAGAAATGACTGTCTTTGATAAAATGATACAACATAATCCATCAGTACTGTTAAATACACCAGAGGATGTTTTTGTGGTGTTGCTGGGGTGATCCCCAAAAATATGGACTAAAATTAAGTTATTCATATGGGTAGTGATTATATTGAAGATCAGTAATATTCCATTTATGTCTAAATAAAGTATAATGTGTGTTATATACCTGTTGACAATATCTTTTACTCAATCCATGTATACTCGACTATTTCTCATATCATTCTAACTTAAAAGATAAATTTATCCATTTTCTGTAAAATTCAAAAAAAAAATAGCAAAAGAAATAGTGTTACTGTATTCAGATCAAACAGCAAATTTTCCTGTTGCTATTATTTTGAGTTTCATATTTGTAATTATTTTATACTAAATATAAATTATTCAAATTGTCTTTATGGAAATTTAAAATTCAAACAAAAACATCTAAGATGGTGAAATTCAAGCAATTTACTTGCTAAAGTAGCGTGCTTACTCTAAAATCTTTTTTCCTCAACTTTAGCAAGTATCCTATCTGCACACCTCCCTTCTTTACCTCAAGCAATTTAATTTATAATTCAAATTTCTCTTTTATTGCATGTTCATACCATTCACCATTCTTGTCTAAATTGTCATAAGTTTTTACTTATGACAATTTAGACAAGAGTCAACATCAAACTGAGATCTAAAAATTTTTTTTGTTTAATAATTTGGTAAATTTTGCACTTTCATTGCTTATATTTTGGCAACCACCTTATAGAAAATCTTGACATTTTGCAAACTATCTAAGAAAGCAATTTTCTTTCGAATGAAATATTTGGAATTACTTCAGGTGTTTGGGGAGGGTGGAGAAATTGACCCCCGAAAATTAGCAACTCTGATTCCTGTATATATAATATAGTTGGTGACTTTTTACTTGGAGAGTCAGCCATGATTCCTAATTTAGCATATGATGATACAGCAACAAAATTTTCAAAATAAACATTACCTTTTTTCTTTAGTTTTTTTAATTGATTTTGTAATTCTTTATCACTTTCTAATTCCTTTATTTCTTTTTTTGCTAATAATTCCACTTTTGAAGTTTGTTCAGCTAAATATCTGTTAACTTCATCAACATCAACTTCTTTATTTTCTTCTTTTGGTAGTAAATCTTTTGGAATTTCATCAGGCAAAACTGTTTTCTAGAAAATAATTTTTTTAAATTAATTCATTTTATTATGTAAAATATATTTCACTTCATGCCTACATTTAACTATGTAAAATAAATACACTTAAGTGTTGTGGTGTTACTGTTTGCAACTATTTAGAGCATAAAAAGTGTTCACTAGCACTTTCAGTAGCATAAAGCTACCATCTTCAGGTGAATATCGAATACAAATATTTTTCAAACGATTAGCTTTTGAACAAACTTATGAAAATAAGTAGTGCGCGTGGACAGAATACAGAAATTGAATTTAAAATAAAAGATGATCTAAAATGTGAAAAGCATTATGAACGTTATTATATCCCCAAATATATTAAAAAAGCAATTGAGTGAATGGTATGAACATGCAATAAAAGAGAAATTTGAATTATAAATTAAATTGCTTGAATAAAGTTATCCACAATTGTGGAATTTCAACGGTTGGTATGTTGCACGGTGTTATGGTGGCAATGTATAGGTTCTCCCATATGAATAATTCTTTATGATTGTTACACCATTTGAGTACAGTCGACCCCCCTATAATTACGGTCCCTATAGTTACGATTCCTATAAAACTACGAAAAAATTGCTACTGGTATCCGTAAAAAATAGTAAAAGTTCCCTATAAACACCTCAAACGTCATCGGGAAGCCGAACTACTTTCCCGCCGTCCGTAGCGCCACGCTACGGAGAGATTTCTATCGTCTGGACAGTATTATATAAATTATATATAAATTAGGTACTGTACATATAATTATATATTAATTATATATAAATTAGGTACTGTATATATAATTATATATTAACTTATTGTAACTTTGTTATAATTAAATATATAATTTCCGCCGTCTAGCGTGGCGCCACGCTACGGAGATTTTTACGCTAACTATCGTCTGTCAGTATGTAAATTAGGTACCGTAAGTCTAATACAGTACTGTAATTTTATACATTTCTTGTGAAAGAAACATTTCTTATTCAACGGCGATTAAAATTATTTATATTAATGATGTCTCCGAAGTTCTACGAAGTTTTCACAGAAAAATAAGTTGTTAGAAATCGGCCGCTCTTTGCTGAGCTGTTCCGCGACGAAAACAATGTTGAGCAATGGCAATGTCGAATGGTGACACTCGGTAAGTAATCCTACAATTTTTTGTTTATAGCGTAGTTTATACGGATTATTCCCAAAAAATATATACGTATTTTGGAAATGTTGAGTCGGATTAGTCTAGAATCGATTAATTTTATGGAAGAAAATCTTTCAAACAGCCGTAGTCCGTAAACTTGACACGTGTCGGGTTGTGATTGGAAGGATTCGTAAGAAAGCGGATTCCTAGAGAATGGAACGTATCTCTATCTTATAGGGGGGTCGACCGTAATTTGGTTTGGGCCCAGAGGGGAAAATAATCTTGGTCAAGCACTTTTTTTTTAGCTAGTTTGGTTGATGGTCTATTGTTTCTAATGTCCTCCTGATGTTCTAGGATGCCAGAGCTTAGCATTCTATGTAGCTTGTTTCCTCTCCTGAGAGTGCATGTTTTAATGGGATTTGATACACACCAGATTTTTCATTCAAATTAAGAATATCTCTGTCATTGCACAGCAGTCTTCTTAGTGTTGGATGTGGGATTACAGGTAATATAAAACCATTCTTTCTAAAAAGATGTGCTATTTTTAGTGAGATTGGGCGTAAGTATGGTATCAGAAGATGTGTTATTTTTAGTTTCTCTTTGTTACTAAGAAAGGACTGCGGAAACAACTTATCTTTGACATGATTTTGGAGAAAGTGAAACTTAGAGAATAACCTGCATTTAGCATTGCTTTGGTGATAAGTTGCAATTCCTCATTGACTGTTGCTTGGGTGGAAGGGAGTAAGTATGCTCTCCAAATGAGAGATGCTATAGTAGAATTCACAAAGTATGAAGGTTGGAAGGCTGCAGCAGGAATAATATGCAGTGCTTTGTTGTTTCTATGATTTATGGAAAACATAAGATCAGGTGATCTGTAGATCCAAGGAGATACTGGTGTTTTGTTCTTCTTCTATAGTGAAATTGAGGGATAAACAGAAGCTAACATTTGAATAAATTGATCTAATTCGGCTGTTGAGCCATTCCATGCAAGCAGTATGTTGTCAACATAGCGTAAATACATGATAGGAAAGCAGATGGACAAAGGGGCATTGAAAATATGATGTTCTATGTTCCTCATGATGAGCTTTGCCAAGATAGGCAATAGTGGGGAATCCATAGGTAATCCCTGGGTTTGTTTGTATATTTTACCATTAAATTGAAAATAATTATTTTCTATGATAAGAAAGAGAGCCTTGAGCAAGTGTAAAACGTGTGATGTTGTGTAACCAGAATTAAGCAGCAGAGTGTTTGCAAGCATGATGGTTTCGAAATGAGGCACTGATGGATACAAAGAAATTACATCAACTTTGTACAATTGGTACGAGTTAGTGGGGAGGTTTTTTAATTTTGCTAAAATACTTAATTTAGCATCCATTGAGGATGTAGTAACAAAGTCAGAATGTGGAACCAAAGCTGTAATTTGTTTAACTAGTGCAGTTTCTAAATAATATGTAGGGTGGGAGTGTTTGTTGACTAAAGGTCTTAAAAGCCAATTGGGTTTATGCATCTTTGCTTCAAAGTATAATCTGGGGCATGCAACGTTGGTTGGTGGATTGAGAGGACCTTTTAAAGAGGTTATGATTCCTGGAAGTGTTATAACTTTAAGTGTCTTTCTTAATACTGTTGTGGTTGGATCCTGTTTTAGTATGATTGATTTGGATTTGTCAAGGAAATCATTGGCTCTTGTTAGGAAATCTTGGTTTTTGTTTAATACAAATCTTTTGTCTTTATCTGCTACTAGTAGATTTAAATGATTAGATGCGAGGAATGTCTTTACTGTCCGAGCAATCTTAATATTTAATTTCTTGGTTTTCAAATGAATATTACCTGTAACCTCACATCCAACACTAAGAAGACTGCTGTGCAATGGCAGAGATATTCTTAATTTGAATGAAAAATCTGGTGTGTATCAAATCCCATTAAAACATGCACTCTCAGGAGAGGAAACAAGCTACATAGGGGCCATAGCTAGAATGCTAAGCTCTGGCATCCTAGAACATCAGGAGGACATTAGAAACAATAGACCATCAACCAAATTAGCTAAAAAAGTGGTTGACCAAGATTATCTTCCCCTCTGGGCCCAAACCAAATTACTCAAATGGTGTAACAATCATAAAGAATTATTCATATGGAAGAACCTATACATTGCCACCATAACACTGTGCAACATACCAACCCTTGAAATTCCACAATTGTGGATAACTTCATTCAAGCAATTTAATTTATAATTCAAATTTCTCTTTTATTGCATGTTCATACCATTCACTCAATTGCTTTTTTAATATATTTGGGGATATAATAACGTTCATAATGCTTTTCACATTTTAGATCATCTTTTATTTTAAATTCAATTTCTGTATCCCGTCCATGTGCACTACTTATTTTTATAAGTTTGTTCAAAAGCTAATTGTTTGAAAAATATTTGTATTCAATATTTGCCTGAAGATGGTAGCTTTATGCTACTGAAAGTGCTAGTGAACACTTTTTATGCTCTAAATAGTTGCAAACAGTAACACCACAACACTTAAGTGTATTTATTTTACATAAATATATTTTACATCTTACTTTTTACCGTATTCTGATAAATCCATATATAGAATAGAAATGTCTATTTGAAGTATATGATTTTTCACTCTATGGAGAAAAAGTATAAGTAGTGCCCTATGACAAAATAATAATAGGAAAAGTAACTTTATTTATTGACTATACAAAAGTCGAGACATATAATAATTTATTCCATAGTTCAATAAACTGGCCAACGATTATTGTAACAATGTATTAAAAAAAACAAATAACGTATGTTTCAAATTTATACGGACACGAAAAAATTAAAGTGAAACCCAAATTTGCTGCATTAAGTGACAAATGTTTTATTAAAAATAACATGGATTTACATGTTTCCACACTGCAAAATAAGAATTTTAATCAAACATTAACATTTTGTCACTGAAAATAATATTTTTGAAAATTTTGTACAAAAAAACTGTTACATATTTATCCGGACAGGTTTCAAATTGCAAAGTTTTCTTACAATTTAATGACCAATGTAACCACCATTTAACTTAATTACATTAAATACTCGATTAGGCATTGTTTCAATTAGATTCTGAAGGAATTCAATCTTAAGTTTATCCCAAGCATCTGAAATTGCTGCCTTCAAATGATGAATTGTGGAAAACTGTTTTCCATTGGATAAACTTTACGAACCATCATCAACAAAAGATTTTCCATCAGATTCAGGTCAGGGCTTCTAGCAGGCCATGTCATCAGATTAATATTTTTACGTTTAAACCACATTTTTGTTGATTTAGAGGCATGCACAGGGGCATTGTCTTGTTGAAAGATCCAATTTGGTCCACAAATATTTGATCAAGCTTCCAATAAATGATCTTCAAGCATGCCTTGATACTTCTCTGAATTCATTCTTTGAGTTATAAATGCTAAACCTGAGGTTCCATTGAATCCAAACACACCTCACACTATTATTGATCCCCCACCCATTTGGCGTTTTGAAAATATTTGTTTTTCGGTTCTTAAATTGTGAAAATAATACTTTCAACCGTCTGGACTATCTAAGATGAGTTGTTTTTTTATCACTGAACAAAACTTCAATCCATTCTTTGGACCATGTCATGTGTTTTTGTGCCCAATCAAGTCTATCACTTTTGTGCTTTAATGAAAGTGGTGGCATTATAGCTTTTTTTCTGAATTTTAACGCTGGAGATTTATTTAAAACTCTCCACACTGTTGTGCAAGTCTAATTCTTGTTTTATTTTTCTTACTGATGTTTGTTTTGTGGAGCAAACCTTGATGATTTGTCTTCAATCTCGAGGTATAAGATTCGGTTTTGGACCTGTCTTGAATTTTGGTACAT